CAAATGGTGGTCAATGTACCATGTAGTGTTCAAAAAAGAACTCAGATTTCAATTCAGATTGTCTACCATCAAAAATCAGGGACCTCAAACTGATCTGCTATTTAACCTCTAGCTGTAAGAAATGTCTTCAATCATTTACAACGGCATTGCCCCGATATGAACGAAACAGAATTGACTGAATTTGGACCTGCATGGTTGATTTCTCATTCTGTGCCGATTACATCCTTACAAGCTTTATCTTTATAAGAGACACTTCAGGCCAAATGTATTACTTCCATATCTCGGTTAGAGATATGCCATACTCACTTTCCAGCCTTAATAAATTTTGAAAGCGTCTACGCACCATTTTCGGTGATGAATTACTTTCCACCTAACAAATCTTTTCCCAAAGGATATACGTCACAAGCCCGCTCCCCAAAATCTGTCCAATCAACAGACATTTAAAAGTTGCTGCTTGTGCAATTGTAACAGTAAGTGACTGAAAACTAGCAAACTTGAGAAGATTTTAAATTTCAGTTCAATTCGTTTTATTTTCTTTCAAACAAACACACTTCATAATGGTATGAATCCATGTATTCTCCCCTCCAGATAGGGGTTAAATAATAGGACAAAATGTTTTTTTTGTTCTTTTGTAGCAACCAATTCAGGGTAAGGAAAATCTGAATACACAACCTATGTAGGGCTGTTTAGGCGATATTTTCTATCTGTTCAGTTGTAGAAGCTGAAATGTTGGTACCTAATAAGTCGATGACAATGGAAGAGTCGATTATATATGTGTGTTGTGTGTGTGTTTGAGAGAGAGAGAGAGAGAGAGAGAGAGAGAGAGAGTGAGATGCAAAGGAACGACAAGGTAGAGACATTATGTATAATGCGTTTGTTTTTCTAGAAGGATTCATCGAACTAAATGATGCTTTTGTTGATGTTCAGGATTGGGTAAGGGAGATATAAAAACGCAATCCTTATTTATCCTTATGCCCAGCCAGGAAACGCTGAAAGTATTGGAACGCTAAAATTCAAAATTTTAACTTTATATTTCTTCTTTGTTTCAGACGTGTCTGGGCATGTTATCAAACCGATTTCATTCTGTTTCCTTATGATTTTGTTTTAAGACAAAAAATGTTATACAGAACTTTTTTCAATTTATCATTATTTTACTTAAACCTTTACTCATACTCTGCGTAGGTGAAGCTTTGGTAGGTTTGTCTGGCTCTTAAGGTTTAATTAGGTCTGCTCTACTTAACGTATTGAGCATTTAGTTAGTTATTTTGCTTACTTGTATCGTTTTTTTTTCTTTAGATTTTGTACTTGCATGCTAGACAATTATTTTCGGCTAACGAAATACCTTCTTATACCTTTTTTCCCCTTTGGTATTGGTTGGATTATTCGCAAATCAAAAAACCGAAGGTTTTCCGGACGAGTACAATTTCTTATACTTATAATATTATTACTACTATATATATATATATATATATATATATATATATATATTAGCAGCAATAATTTTGGCTCTTGTTTTGAAACATGAGAACTCTTATGTAGCGTTGGAATCATATTTTTAAATAAATAATTATATACACACACACATATATATATATATATATATATATATATATATATATATATATATAGAGAGAGAGAGAGAGAGAGATGGGTGTGTGGGTGACTGACTCACGTCTTGAACAACTAATGATGGTTAACAACTATGTGTTAGCCACGTCTTTACATCGTATATGTAGTTTAAGAATACTGGTCTTATAGATGTCTTTAATTTAAAGACAAGAGCATGACTCATTATTTACTAAGAAACCTGAAGCGAGAATGACAAAATCATTACCAATATTTTAGCGTTCATGCCTTCACCTTATTTTCTTTGCGTAAATTATTGCCAAAAATATCGCTGACTGACCACTTACCAAGTCTTTGCAAAATTTTGTATCGATGCCACATTGTCAATTTGTCCTCGAATTTATTTTTTATACTTAAGACGATGACGACCAACGAAAGTCTACGAATTTTGTATGAGACGATAAAAATCCGTTTTGGAATGATAATGTCATTCATTCTTATTAGCTGACTAGACGAGCTGAGCTGCATTTTAATGAGAATTTTTTTTTTCTTTTTATAGAATCTCGCTACAATTTTTAATTTATTTTTCAGTTTCAAGTATCAAATTTGGCACAAACAATCCACATGGAAAGGATTTAATTGCTGGATCTGCATACAATCTAATCTCAAGAACAATGTGTACTCACAAATTTTAACTTTTAATGACCTACTGCGCATATTCAAAAGTTTGTACTTTGTGTCAAATGTACTATATACGGCGTATTTCGACAGTAAGAACTCTCTCAAAGAATCTTGCTGCCGAAATACACTCTATTTAGATTATACGATTCTGTATCGAACAAGGGCACTAACACAACAAAATGTCGATGTACTGTCATGGAAAGAGGTCAAAACATCCAAGGATCAGATCAAATATCTCCTAATTGAAATCAATGAAATTGACAACAAACTAAATTTTTTAAAATACGTATCACAAAAAACATGATTAAAATTATTATTCGACGGTATCTAAAAAAATATAAAAATGCAAAGTGGCACGGTGGAGTAATAGATAGCGGCTCGGATTGAGGAATCGGAGAGCCGAGTTCGAATTCCAGTCAAATTCATTACATTAACTTACATAAAATAGCAGGACAGACCTGGTTCTGTAGCCTTGAATGGCAAGTGGTCTACCGCAAAGAAATGGCAACATACTGCGGGAAAAAATCAGGTTCGTTAATCATGTATCGAAAGATACATGATCGTCTAAGCGTGTATTATGCATGACACATAACTGACTAATATAAAATAATTATAAAAAAAAACTTGAATGTAACGTAGTTCAACAATTTACTTACCATATGATGTCACCTTGAGTGACTTGAAATTGGTTCCATCAAACGTGAGAACTGGACGCTTCGACGTGGCGTAATAGCAAACTTGTCTCACTAGATCGATTACGACTTTGGACTACATCTAAGCTACGCATAGAAAATCATCATCAAACGTGTGAACGCCGGAATTAAAAATCAGTAAAATAACTACATACAAAACAATGCTGGTAGTGTAGCATCATTCGAAAGTACTCGGGGGAAAATAATATAAAATAAATATTAATATGAATTTTGGCAAATTTACCGATAACACACGGCAACTTATTTGGAAATTTGAAAGATTTCATTAAAATAAAAAAAAAATGTAGAGAGGACTTGTCCATATTATTTAATATATGTTTGTGTGTGTATCTGTGACTATGTGAATAAAACAAAACTGCTTATGGTCACCTGACACTGAAACACTGGTCTCCGTACAATCACCAAAGTTAAGCAACGTCGAACTTGATCAGTACCTAGATGGGTGACCACTTGCAAATACCTGCTGCTGTAAGCCTGGATTTGCGGATGTTCTAATATATAATGTCTCAGAATTGTTAACTGGAGATACGAGTTCCAATTCAAGTTGGATTCGTTATATTCACTTACGTGCAAATATCTTTGGGGAAAGTATGAATCCATCTCTTCTACCCCCAGCTATGGGTTAATTAGTAAACCTTGTATTACTAAAACATTATTATCTCCAAAAATGAAATAAAATTGCGTACAGAATATTTAGAATAACCCACAGAGACTGATATACCCCTAAACACAAACGGCTGAATAAAGAAAAGCAATGATATTCGTGAGAATAACATCATTTTTTAAAATCTTACGTATCTTAAACATAGAAAATCAAAGAATTTCGCCTCAGCCCTTATATAAAATATCCTATCCACGAGGTTAGTCTTTAAGATGTCCTTTTATTTTAGGCCAGGTTTTTCGTTTACTTCCACCATTTGATAATCTCTATCTATAAAAAGCAGGATGTGTGTGTGTGTGTGTGTAACGAATGCACGGCCGCAGTTTTTGACGGATTTGCACCAAAATTTACATGCATATGCTACAAGTCAGAGGGAAGACCAAGACCGACTTTGCATTTCCTAGCTCCCATCGATGGTGGAAATAATCGATATTTTCATGCTTCTACGGCACTTTTCATGTAGTTTGAGACAATTTTGTACTGCCCAGAGTGAGAGCCAATAGCTGGCTGCCACGGATAGGCAGGAAGATTCTATTGGCCAATGTAAGAGCCAACAGCTGACTGTCACGAATGTTAATTAGCATGCCAAAAAAAAAATCGATAGCTGCATTCGTCACAAGTGGGAAAAATCTAAATCTGCATGGCACTTTACTAAAATTGGCTCATTCGCTTGTTTAAACTCAACGTTGATTCTGATTCCGCAGAACTGGGTTGGGTGTCAAAAAGTATTTTTTGTTAACATTCTTTTTTCATTTGGTTTTTCCAGTTACGAGTCCTTTTTTTAAAGCTGATCGTTTTGTGTTCATTTTGTTTAGTTCTTTTTTCGTAACAGATTTAATGTTTAGTATAGAGCTTAGAAAAAATTCGCAGTGTGAGATAGGCAAGAAGTAAGGCATGTAGCAACATCAGCACGGCAAAGGGCTCTCCTTTAAAGGCAAGGAAGGGCAAACATATTTTAAGTCAAGTGACAGCGATTGCTGTATGAGTCGTACGATTTTTTAATCAAGCACTGGCAACGACGGGCCATGCTGCTAGTCAGTTATAGATAGAGTGGAACATCTTCCGGGGTGATATTGTGAAAGATCTCCCATAAACAAAACGTGTACACGAGAGATGTAGCAGAATATTATTCGAACATATGCAGCAAAACATTGAACCAGGGCTCGCCCACCGTGTCCGTCATGATGATATAGAGTTTGACTTTATCAATATTGGTTTCTGGGGGGAAAAAATAGGTGATATGCAATTGCTCAAGATGTTCACTACTTCAAGACCATCACAGACAACGTGAATGTGGTTTACCAAAACTGGTGCACATCGCCATAGTGTCCGTTTAAAGGCACCTGTCATATCCGTAGTTTATCTGGTAATTTTCTAAA